TCTGTGAACTCTCCACTGAAACAGAAGTTTGGCTCCATTCAAGCCTAGAGCCAGGTAGACTACCCAATACCCAACACAGCAATGCTGCTCATGACCAGACAGAGCCTTGAGGCTCCTAGTTCAGCATGCTTTTTAATGTCAAAGGCAGTGCAGGCTACTTTATATCCTTCCAACCTCTTCTGCTCTTCCCTGCGCAGAAGGTGCCTCTCAGGAAAACAGACTTGGATTTGGATAAAGCTGTCTCACCCTCAGCTGTACCGGGTCTGCTGGGACTGCTTGCCTGCTGGATCTTCAAGCTGTCGCATTTACTCACAGTGTGCACAGTCACCTACAACCTTCCACTTAGTGGGAGGGATATGGCAAAACATGTGGGTGTGAATATTTAACTAGATACAATGGTAAGAAAATAAAAACAGCTAAATGTAATGAAACCTAAACAACCCATTTCAAATACTTGCAAACGGTGAAAGCATTGTTGGAGCCCTGCTATTACACTGCCTTTTACTGCCAACAGTTAGTCATTTACCTGAAATAGCTGGAAAGCAGCCTTGTTTCATTCTGGTTTCCCAGTCTCCAAGTCTCTGTCACTCACCTCTGCTGTATCTCTGCTGTATTAGCTTTTTGCTGACCATCCAACAGCAAACTCAGCAGGCATGAAATAGCTGGTGTCTGGAAATCACAGTCTTCCATTCCTTCATTTGTTCTCCTGTGTACTATTTTCTTGCTATTGGGCAGCAGTGCCTGTTAACCACTGTTCCTCATTCTTCTAGTGCCTTCAGGTTGCCCAGAATTAGGTGGTTTTGCAGTGTTGGTATCAATTTTCCCTCAAGTCTACTGCTTCATGGAAGTTTTGTGCACGTGTTGGAATACAGAAGGCAGCACAGGCAGACCTGGCCATGGAGAGCCTTAGCGTGTCTGGTTCCAAAAGTTGCCAAAGGTGGAGGACAAACTAAACGTATTCTCTGTGGTTGGACTGTGCCCCTCATGTCTGAAGCTGAGGCCTCAAGGCTTAGGGAGCCATACAGGAGCACGGGCGTCATTTAAGACCAGTGGGGAATACCTAAGTATCACACCAGAGAGTCTTGGATTCTGCAAACACTTTCAGTTTGTATGTAGTCCTAACCATGAGAATTGCCCAAGGACTGACTTTCCAGGTTTCACACAGGGTAGCACAGCTGGGTAACTCGAGCATGGTGATGCTGTGATTTGTGCTCGTCGTCAGCCAGTATGGGGCAGCCTTTAAAGAAAAATGTTGTTTGCTTCTCAAACTTAGCTTGTTGTTCCTTCTCTCACCTTCTCTTTACTGTGCTGATACATGCATTTGATTGCAGCTTCTATGAGAACTACTTTATTTGTGAATTTATACCTTTTTGTTAACATTTTGGATCCTGAAAGTAATGTTGTCAGAACTGGCTGTGTCAACTGTTTTTCTGAAAGGAATTTTGACATGTAGTGTTTGGATCCAATGCCTTCAAACAAACATATGGGAGCCAAAGCCAGATGAGCTGGAAAACTTGGAAAAGAGCTCACCATCTAGAAACTGGGTTCATCGGCTTCACCTGCTAGGCCAGGAAGAAACACCAAACAGACAATATGCACTGAAAACCCACCATCCTGATGGATCTGGTGGTAGATGGTCAGCACTGTCCAGAATTTCTTCAGCAGATTGGCACAAAAACTGCTTCTTTGAGTGATGGTTCATAATACTTGTAAGGCTCAGTAGCAGGTCTCCTTGCCTCAGAGTCTAAAGGGATTCGTGCATCTCCGTCACCTTCCAGAGGCTTTTGCTATCACCCCTGGGCTGGACAGACTTCCCATTCTCCCTGCCATCTCTTGGTTCTTGGCCACTCAGGTTTCACAGCATCCAAGAGGGGACTGAAATGTCGATTCATGCTTAGAAATGTGTCTGGGTGTGAATGTGACAGTGGCACGTATTGCGCTGCAGTGGCCTTTGGGAATGTTCACTCCAAGCTAATAAGTAGGTGAGAAAAGGGGTTAAATAGGAAATTTATTATCAATCAGACCCTCACATTGAATTAGCACTCAGTAAGAGCATAGAAGTAGCCATGGGGAGACTTATAGGAGGAAGAAGATACTTAACTAAAGTCCAGATTCATCAACCGAATGAGCAGTCTGAATCGGAAAAGAGCGTTAGTGCTTGTATGGAATAATCAATAGAAATCAGAGAGTGCCAGTACGTTTAAAAGGCTCAGTCAGGCCTTAACTATCTTGAGAGAATGAAATCTTCTTTGTGAGTCAGGAGCTTTTTGTGAATTACACAGCACCTTAAAGTATTGGCAACTTGTCTCAGCACTGCAGATTTGTGGTCAGCACTGCAGCTTCTGATGTAAATGGGGAGAAGTTGTTTTGTATTTAGGGTTGTAAACCTTTGCCTCGATAAAACCGTGCTTTATCCTTCTATGTCTGAATAGCAACATTCACATGGCCTGCAAAATGTCAGCCTTTTTTTCTGGAGACAATGACAACCAGTGCATTTGCAAGTTCCAGTCATGAGAAATTACTGTGATTTAAGGTTTTGCCTTCGATCCCATATCAGTCTCTTTGTTGCTCATGCCAGAGAGAGTTATTGGTCTGGTCCTTCCCCTGGCAACTTCAGTGAGCTTTTATTCACCTCTGATGTCAGCAGGAGCAGGGCTGAGTATGGTGTGTGGCCATGTGCTCTCCTCTACCATTTCCTCATCTGTGCTCATTACCACAGTTTAGAGGCATCGCTTCTTGCTTGCCCCTCAAAAAAGGCAGCCTTGTACACCTGTCTCCCTCCTCCTTCCTCATGAGTAGAATGGAGTTGTGCCACTGTGCACTGCACACCCTCATGGCACACAGCTTTCTCACAACAAGTAGCAGGTGCTTTCCTCTCCAAGGGGAATAAAATCTGCAAGAGAAAAAAGTATATCAACACATTCAGTATATCAACACAAAAGTAAATCAACACATCCTCGACAGGCTGGAAAGCTGGGCTCGGGTGAATCTAATGAGGTTCAACACGGCAAAGTGCAAGGTTTTGCATTTGGGCCAGAAGAACCCCAGGCACCCGCACAGGCTGGGAGGAGTGGTCCTTGAGAGCAGCTCGGCAGAGAAGGACCTGGGGGTCCTGATGGACGAGAGACTGAACATGAGCCAGCAGTGCGCTCTGGCAGCTCGAAAGGCAAATGGGATCCTGGGCTCCATCAGGAGAGGGGTGGTCAGCAGGGACAGGGAGGTGATTGTCCCTCTCTACTCGGCTCTTGTGAGGCCCCATCTGGAGTACTGTGTCCAGGTGTGGAGCCCTCAGTACAAGAAAGACATTGAGATTTTGGAAAGGGTCCAGAGGAGGGCGACTAAGATGATCAGGGGGCTGGAGCACCTCCCCTATGAGGACAGGCTGAGGGAGTTGGGCTTGTTCAGCCTGGAGAAGAGAAGGCTGCGGGGTGACCTCATTGCAGCCTATCAACACCTGAAGGGAACCTACACCCACGAGGGGAGTAAACTCTTCAAAAGGGCTGACAACAGCAGGACTAGGGGAAATGGATCCAAGTTGAAGGAGGGAAGATTTAGGTTGGATGTCAGGGGCAAGTTCTTTACAAGGAGAGTGGTTAGGCCCTGGAACGGGCTGCCCAGGGAGATTGTGGACGTGTTCAAGGCCAGGTTGGACGGGGTCCTGGGCAACCTGATCTAAATGTGTGTGTTTGGTGGCCCTGCCAGGCAGGGGGGTTGGATCTACATGATCCTTGAGGTCCCTTCCAACCCGGGTGATTCTGTGATTCTGTGATTTCACACACCACAGGGGAAACAGAAGCAAGACGAATTCACTGTTCAGGTTCCCCAGCCAGCAGTCTGATAAACCCCTATTATTCAGGCATCACACAAAAGTAGTTTCCAACTTTTTCTCACACTCCAGAGAACACTTTTAGCCAGGTCCTGCCTTGCTGGTCCCACAGTCTTCATTTCCATACAAGCCTTGCCTAGCACTGCAGGATGAGTCTCAGTTTTGTGGCTGATTGCTGACTCAACCCAACTTGCCAAAAGAACCAAGGAAGGACTTTGAATCAGAAATTTGAATATTGATTTATATGACAACCCATCACACATGAGCTCCTATCCCTCCTATCCTGGTAGCAGCAACATATTTATATAGCACAAGCACTACTTTCCTGCAAAGGCTTAGCTTGTTCACCTGAACTCTAGTTAAAATCCTTTGGTTAGAAGATGTTAAGAATGGAAATAGTTTCCTATATGAGAAACTGTTTAATCCTCTCTTGCAGTGAATACACAAAGAAAGCTCCATGCTCTGTAAGAGATTTAAGGTACATTTCAGCAGCAAAAAGAACATGGTCTGAAAATTGAGCAAAAATATGCTGTTTAAAAATGTAGCTAAAGAAGCTTTCACTTTTTTCTCCTTAAACAAAGCTTCAAGATTCAATGTGAGATAAAAGAGGACACAATGGGGATGCGGGCAGTTATGAGGAGAAGCAGAGAAGGCAGCAACATTTCTTCTGTAGGATGTTATTCTGTTGAGTTGCCTTCCTGGGAAGTAATAACTCTGCTGTCAAGCCTGACTGGACTAGAATTAAAAAGAACATGGTTCTGGATTGATGGAGGCACTTTTCTGACCCAGCTGGGTCCCTCAGTAGCGGTTTGTAGAGGAGAAAATGTAAGAGAATAAATTCCTTGCCCAGCCCGCACTACTGTTTTAGAGTCCATAGCTGCAGAGAGGCAAGATTTGTGCTGGATCTCATCCTGAAGCTCCACGACCATCTTTGTGTGGCATTGCCAGCAAGCTGCTGTGTGTCTGGGCATACTACCTTTAGCCCCTGGTGAGCTTGGAACACAGCTTCTCCAGCCTTCACAGTATCACTGCCTGGGAGATGGAGTGCTCATGTCCTATGCTATTAATTCCACCATGCTTTTTGCTACTATCAAGTCTAGATTTCTGTAGCTGTATGGAGACCACCCAGGCTGTTGCCCTAATTTTGCTTCTCTCCTGTCTGTCCCACATGCAGAGAAGCAGAGGGAGCTGGCTCGGAAGGGCTCTCTGAAGAATGGCAACATGGGAAGCCCAGTTAATCAGCAGCCCAAGAAGAACAATGTGATGGCACGGACAAGGTAAGAACTGGAAAACTCATCTGTGCTCTGAGCATTAATTCCTAATGACCTTAAGATTGTTATTGCCCCGTTGCCAAACGGACTGCAGGAGCAGCAATGGCCCTTTCAAAATGGTCTGTCCTGTGTTGCATTTTGTCCCATGGGAAGATGCAGGCACAGATTATTATCACTGAGTCGAGGACCAGTGATAATAGAGCCTGCAGACAGCAGTGAGCCTAGCCTGGTAAAAATCAGGGGTTTTATATGTCTTCAATGTTCTGGGCAACCCTGCATAATAAATAATCATACCAGCAGGAAAGTGTACGTTTGTGCTTCACATAACAGCAAACTGTGTTAAAGCTTAGTTCTGACTTGGCTGCTTTTATCCCAGAAATTCTCCTTCTTCTTTTTTGAAAATGACCCCTTCCTCATACTGATTAACTTAATGATGACTTGTGTAGCATCCATCTCTGTGTGCTTTGCTGTACAGCTCCTCCACACTTTGAACAGCATGGTCAGAGCAGGAGCCATTTTGGCTCATCTCTGTGTGACATAATCAGGCAATACTACAATCCACTGTAAACAAAGAAGTTTTTAGATGAATACATGATTTTAGTGTATTTCTGTTTTTTCCATGCCGGCTTCATTACAATAATGTATCACTTATCTGCATTCAGGGGGCAGGAACCATACTGAGTCAACAGAATTGCACATTTTGCATGCTATGAGAAAGGTGGTAATTTTTAGTGAAGGATCACACTTAAAATGACAGCAGAATCTACACATGTTCTGGTTTAACCCAGCAAGCAGCTGAACACAGCCACTTGCTCATTTGCCCCCCTCCTAGTGGGATGAGGGAGAGAATTGGAAAAAGGCTGGAATAAACACTATTGACTAAGACAGAAAAGGAAGAAAGAAATAACAGGAATGGTACTAACATACATATATGCATACTCATACAGAAGAAGTGATACACAAACCAATTGCTCTCCACTCACTGATTGTTGCCCAGTCTCCAGGCAGCGGTAGCTCCCTTGACCAACTGCCGTCAGTTTTGTAGTTATTTGGTTTTGCTTTTTTGCATAACATAATGTAGTATGGAATATCCCTTTGTCCTAGTTCTGTCCCCTTCCAGCTCCCTGTGCCACAGCCCCCCTCACTGGCAGTTCAGTATGAGAAGCAGAGAAGCTGAAATGTCCATGGCTCTGCCCTACACCGTTCAGCAACTAACATTAAATAAATAAAGCGATTAACATTATTTTTCTCCTACATCCCACACATAGCATCATACCATACAGTATGAAGAAAATCAACTCTGTCTGAGCTGAACGAATACAACATGAAGGCTGCATTTTTAATGATGAATGAGAAGGTGTCATGGATTACTGCATACTAAGTAGAATAGGAACGGCAGGTCAGAGCCTCTCTCTATGCAGCACATCCAACAGATCAGTTTCAAATTAGTTCCCAAAACCCACAGCAGTACTCATAAATCATGCCAAGACCTTGTCAAGTTTTATCTGTAAGCCCCTGTGACACTGGTGAAAGATACTGCACTGCTCACTGTTTTGCATTTGGTTTTTGAGACCGTGTAAAGGAGTCAGGTTCTTAGTGGCAGTAAGAATTTCAGCAAGTGCTCTCAGATGGGTTTTCCATGCCTACTGCTCCTCATTGGTTTTCAAATGCAATCTGTGAAGACTTGGATTCTTTTGGCAGTAGGCTGTGTGATGGCTTCTCAAGAGCAATTGTAGAAGATTTGCTGCTCAGGAGATTTAGAAACACTGAAATTAGTGGGAGAAGATAATAAGGAAGAGAACGTGGAACTAGTGCTGATGCCTACCTGTAAAATGAGAGACTTCTCACTGGAGAGGCTGCTGCTTTAGAGCTGCCAGGAAAAGGAGGAGTGATTTGGGTGAGAAAGGGTTAAGCAGTGGCACCCATTGACAAAAGCTTTAGAACAGCCAGCTCAGCTTTACTACATCTGTGAAAATCTGAGCACTGTTTAGAGGGTATGCAAACCCCTACATGGCCAAACTAAGCCTGCTATCAATAGACTTGCATTTCTTAGTTGCTTTTCAGACAGCTTTTAGAATCTTCCTTAGGATCTGCAAAATGGAAGTTTGCAGCCTTTAGGCTAGTAGCAAATGTAGCCAGTCTCCATTGTTCCTATACAACTGAGAGGTGTCTGGCTTAGGTTCTTGATGGCCCATGGTTCCTCATCCCCCAGCTCCTTTAGCTTTCTGGGAACAAAGAGCACATTGGCACAGTTCTCCTAATACCTCAGAATGGTTTGCTCTGTCCTGTCATAGACAGGGCAGCCAGGAAGGCAGAAATGCCAGAGGCTTGATCACAAGACTACAGTACAGTGTGAGAGACTCCAGTGGGATATTCTGCAAAACATCTAGGTTATTGTTCTTCAAGTTTGAACAGTGGCTTCCTCCAGTCTCTGCAGGGCGAGGAAAAGCTAAAGCCGTTTTCCCCTTTTTAACAATTCTGCTCTTCTTGTCAAATGTTTTCCTTCATTCAGATGAAGTGTGTTGCCTCTCCTTGTCCCTGTCTCACTTCCTTCTCCTTCTCTGATGCTTTTGTTCTTCAGTATTACCTCTATGAATTTCTGAAATCCAGCCTCATGTACCAGGCTGCCTTTGCCATTCAGTCTTCTCCCGAGCTGAAGATTCAATATCTTCATCAATGACCTTGATGAGAGGATAACGGCCACCCTCAGCAAGTTTGCTGATGATACCAAGTTGGGAGGATTGGCTGACACGCCTGAAGGCTGTGCTGCCATTCAGCAAGACCTGGACAGGCTGGAGAGCTGGGCAGAAAAAAACCGGATGAGGTTTAACAAAAGCAAGTGTAGAGTCTTGCATGTGGGGAGGAATAATTGCATGCACCAGTACAGGTTGGGGGATGAGCTGCTGGAGAGGAGCTCTGCAGAGAAGGACCTGGGTGTCCTGGTGGATGACAGGTTGGCCATGAGCCAGCAGTGTGCCCTTGTGGCCAAGAGGGCCAATGGCATCCTGGGGTGCATTAAAAAGAGCGTGGCCAGCAGGTCGAGGGAGGTGATCCTCCACTCTACTCTGCCCTGGTGAGGCCTCATCTGGAGCACTGCATCCAGTTCTGGGCTTCCCAGTACAAAAAAGACAGGGATCTCTTGGAAAGAGTCCAGCGGAGGGCCACAAAGATGGTGAAGGGCCTGGAGCATCTCTCCTATGAAGAAAGGCTGAGTGAACTGGGTCTGTTCAGACTTGAGAAAAGAAGAATGAGAGGGGACCTGATCCAGGTCTATAAATATCTGAGGTGTGGGGGGCAGAATGGCAAGGGTGGACTCTTTTCAGTGGTGAGTGGAGACAGGATGAGGGAAAAGGAAACTGCAGCACAGGAAGTTCCACACAAATGTGCGCAGGAACTTCTTTACAGTGAGGTGACGGAGCACTGGAACAGGCTGCCCAGGGAGGTGGTGGAGTCTCCTTCTCTGGAGATGTTCAAGACCTGCCTGGATGCCGACCTCTGCGACCTGCTGTAGGGAACCTGCTTTGGCAGGGGGTTGGACTCAATGATCTCTGGAGGTCCCTTTCAACCTCTACAATTCTGTGATTCTGTGAGCTGTGGGGACAACTAGCTTTAGAGGTGAAATGATTAGATCCATAGCATGCTCAGCCTTCCTAACATCAAATAAAATGTGAGCAAAGTTGTGTGATGCTGGCACTGTCATTACAAGCACTGGCAGAACTCACAACATCATCTGCACCTCTTCTACACAGATACTGTAGTCTCCTCTGAGGATAAGCTAAACTTAGATATTGTTGTAATGTATTTCATGTTAAGGGACAAAAAGCAAAACAAAAAGCCAATCTCCACAGATGAAATTAAGTATAACCACAGACCAGGCTTGTTCCAAGGACACTGAAAAGCAAAAGTAAGGTCAGTTGGGATGTGAAGAAAAAACTTAAATCAGAGACGGAGACATGACAGTTTCAATCTGCTATAAAAAAGCTGTAGTTCTTGTAGTTGTACTAAGAAAAAAAAAGATGTTTCTCAAGAAAAAGACGTAGTGAGTTATTTAAATCAAGTAAATAACACCACAAAGGGCTGTTCTCTTTGTTCCCCAATGGTGCTTCATTCATTCACAATACAGTAACAACGGTCAGTGACTGTGTATGGAGCAGAAGCTTGAAAACTGAAGAGCAAGTATGGAAGTGAGTGCTTCTGGAATCACTGTAGGCAAGCAGCTGCTGCTAGCTCACAGCTTCTGTTTTCGTTTCAGACATCTTTGCTTCTTTAATTCTTTCCTACTTTGCAGGGAGTAGAAGGACTCTCTAAAGGCTATGGGAAGGGTTATTGAATTTTGCAAGTGGGTCCCATTTTTTGCAGCAGGTTGGAAATTCTACATCAGTTTTAAAATTAATTTAGTTAGACTTTAGTTTCAGTGAATACAGTAAGAAAATGCAACCATGAGCATATACATCTGCTTTGTGATAACATTTGAAATATTTTACTATCCCCCATTCTTTCCTATCTTCAATGCCTTTAGATTGTTAAAATCATAATGGCTTCCTGAGCTCTTCTGAGCAGAACATTGCAGCTGCAATAGAGTAGTTGAAGCATGAATGAGACATATTATTGTTTCTAGACTTTCTCAAAGTCTTAGTCCCTTGTTAAAGGCTAGTCATTCATTTGGGAGAGAATCTGATTTAACCCACTGAGCAAAGAGATTTTCATCACACTCTTGAGTTCACACCTGCTAAACATAGTATCTTGCTCCATTTGCTCAGTCTGGTTGATCTTATTTTAAATATGATCTCAAGTCCTTGTGCAGTTTTGTGGATGAAAGAACTCTGTTGTGAACTGGATACCATTGAATAATGTATTTTCCTTATCTTAGATGCTCTGAAGTCTATATTCCTTTACACAGACTCCCTCAGGCAATTAAAGGTGCAAAGTCATCACCAGCCATTGTAACACTTAGGATTAACTGAAAGGCACCATAGAAGAATGGGATTTAAGAAGTGCTCGTCCATCTCAACTCCTGTGCTGTGCCCACTAGCTCGAGTTTATCAGATTACTTATTGAATTTAAGAGTGACACCTTAGAAGTGCTGTATTATGCAGGATGGGTAGGGACTCAGGCAGAAAAACCAAGTCCTTGATTTCCAGTAGTAGAATAGTAGTAGTGGTATGCCCCTGGCTTTCCCTGGTCTACTTCTCCCATTTACTTATTGCAAGGGCCATGTACTCATTGCTATGGAAAAAAAATCTGAAAAGGCAGGCAGTGTTAGGTGAAGAGGTTAATCAGAATGACACCCAGAGTTTCCCAAGAAGTTCTGTCTTCCAGAGAAGAGCATGTTCCCAAGGTACGTCCAGTGCAAAGCAGTGAAATGGGGAAGTCTCACCTGTCATATGGCTTCGATACAACCATGTGTGTTACTGAGCTGTACTGTGTGGTTAATGGACATCCTTTAATTTTTTCAGGCTCGTCGTTCCCAACAAGGGCTATTCGTCATTAGATCAGAGTCCAGATGAAAAGCCACTGGTAGCCCTGGATACAGACAGGTATGCAAGGTTTTAATAAGATAATATGCATTACAGTGCAAGCAAGCTTTTCACGACAGATTTCAGGTCTGTGTGTGTGTAAACAAGCAGAAAAAGGCAAGAGTAAAGAGCACTTTTTTGGAAATGTCTGAGGTTCACAAATGAAAGTTGCCCTCCAGGCTCCCTTGATATAATTTCTCTGTGCCTAAAGGACAGCTTCACAGCACTAGGGAGGACTAACTGGGGAATACAGGGCTCTCTGACTGTTTCTTTCTTTGCTCTGTCTTGTCCTCCCCTGCAGTGATGATGACTTTGACATGTCCAGATATTCCTCCTCGGGATACTCGTCAGCTGAGGTGAGTTACACTCTCTCCTGCCATCCTTGTTATTAATGCTGATAGTAGAGCAACAAGAAACAGTCTAGAGTGGCCTTTTGAAGCCAAAAATGGCTACACAAGGTATTTACCGGTGGTGCAAACTTTGGAAGGGCCCTTGGCAGAAACTGTGCCATGCTTCTTTCTTCTCAGTGGTCTAGCTGGCTCCATCCTCACACTGGCATGGCACAGACACAGGTCTGCCTAATCAGCCCTTTTGACCCATTGTTTCACTGAAGCTTTTCCCAGTTCTGCTGAGTCCACAGTGTTGCCCCACGTAGTACAAAAGCATCAACTTGTCTGTCATAGCAGTTCAGCAACTGTTTGCTTGCCAAGGACGCAAGTAAAGGATCTGAGAGTGCACTGCTATTTCCATTCCTTATGGGGCCAGGATTGCCTAATGGGTGTTTGCTTGGTGCAAGCAGAAATTTCAGGGAGGACTTAAAAATATGATCTCTTGTCCTCTTAAAGAGAAAAGGCAGGAAGTTTTGGGCTTGTTAATCCATTGTATTGTTTCTAAATATATTCCCAAGCTCTCCAGTGAATTAGTTGCTCAGCCTCTCGCTGCTGCTTCTGTAGGATCTGATTTTATATCCAAAGTGCTGAGCAGCCATTCTGCACATGAGCCACTGAAAACTCGTCCCCCTTGTGTCCCTTGTACCCCTTTTTCCTGGGGGAAAAATACCACTAAAGCATTTAGAAGTGTTTAAGAGTATACACGATATATAATTGTCTGGGCTATTAGAGGGCTCTGTCTCGAAGGGTTGCTCCTTCAGAGCTGGCTAGATTGCCCTTCAGTCTTAGATTACAAAGAGCCAAGTGGCTTGACCACCTTTCAGCTGCTTTAATGCCCCAGACTAAGTGGTTAGACTGCCCAGTTCCCAGTTGGATTATTGTTGTTTCCTATTTCATAGACAGGAAATATCATATATATTTAACATACTATATATGGGAAATATATTCCAGAGTAAGAGACCTGCTTCCTCATCCAACTATCAGAAGAAATATGTTGCAAGTGTTTGACTGTTTGTCTCTTTGTCTGTAGCAGATCAACCAAGACTTGAACATCCAGCTGCTGAAGGATGGGTACCGGTTAGATGAGATCCCAGATGATGAGGACCTTGATCTAATCCCCCCTAAATCGGTCAATCCTACCTGCATGTGTTGCCAAGCCACCTCCTCCACCGCCTGTCACATCCAGTAGTGAGGCCGGCAGGCTGTGATCAGTGCTTTCCACTATAACTGTAAAACTTAACAGCCATTGCTTCCTCCTATGGTAGGACGTGCACCTCTTTGTGTTCATGGAGCTAGGAGAAACCCAAAAATTCATTTTATGATAGATTGATAAGTTATTTTAAACTATTGTTAAACAAAAAACAAGTTGCTCAAAGTGCCAGGCAATGCCTGACAGAACTGACTGGTCTGAAAAGTGAATGCAGAAGGGTCGAGAGACCATTCTGGGGGTTTTGTAGGCAACAGGGATATTTCGTAAGGTGTTAGTTCCAGAACAGAAAGTTGGGCTACAGTTAATCCTACCTGCAAGACCAAGAGGTGTCAAGGGGTTTACCTGAGGTCAGTTCATAGTTCATTCACTAAGCATGATTTGATCTGTGTAACCAAAATTGTACCACAACAGAGGCACAAATGGCAACAGAATAGGGCATCCTTTCTTAGGGCAGCTCTAGCTAGGACTAACACAACACAATTCATTCACTTGCAAAGAGGGCGAATAGGTGGCATTTCACTGTGAGTCAGTACTAGCTAGAGCTGTCGTGTCACATATCCAGTGCAGTCTTCCTTTGGCACCACATTATCTCCAAACACATTACATTTGATCTACGATCCATCCATGCTCTGAGGGGATTCAGTCTTTGACTGAGAATGCCATAGTCATGAATTCAGTTATACCGACTTCAGCTTATACTTAATTCCTGTGAGACCCATTTGTTTCCAAAAGTCTCCAACTTTGTTCAACTAAGAAAAAATGAAACTTGCTAAGACAGGAACTGAAGGTCAGTGCCGAAAAAGCTAGTAGAAGAAAGCATATTTTTACAGAGCTTGGCTGTTGATATTCCTTTGACACTGCATCTCCTGGTGCTTGTGGGAGAGATTTGTTAACCTTGTGGTGTCAGACTTTAAGGGAGTTTTAAGCAACAGAAGGATAATGAGCAGATTCAGCTGGAAAAAAAAAAAAAAAAGCCACAGGAGGAAACCTTTATTTATCGCATCTCTCCCCACCTGTGAACCAAGCTTTGTCTGTTAGAGCTGTCCCACATCAGGACCAATTGTGTCAGGAAACCTGGCATTACATTTCCTTTCTGGACTGAATTGCCAGCTCACCAACAGATTGTTTTCAACACAAAATGATGTCTGGAATTAGGAGACATGTCCTTTCCTGCTCATCTTTACACTGCTGGCTTCAGAATACATGGGACACAGATGGTGGATGAGCTGGCTTCATTCTCTGATGCCACAAGATCTTTGACACAAGCACAACTGTGTCCTTTTCTGCTCAGCCAGAAAGACTGCCTGCATTACACCAGCACTTGCTTTAGAGACTGGTGGAGGGAAAAAGTTAGGGCAGTTTTGAATTTCCTATCAGAATTCCCTGGGCCACAAGAAAGAACCATGCCTCCACCCTGAAGTACAGATCTCCTGCCTCAGATTTACACATCATGATCTGATTCTTTAAGAAGTCTCATCTCTCTCAGTGATGAGAAGGCCCCTTAACACCATGGGTATTTTTCTGTGCAGTACAAGTCATGATGTCATGCACAGCATAAGCGTAAGAGCAAGCATTCAGGACTCCTGGGCTTTATTCAGGAGCTGGCTTCAGGCAACTATGAAAGATGTTTTCCCTCTTCCTAAAACAGGAATATTGGCCCTATCTGACAACGAACAGAAAGAGACTGAGCAAGCTTGTTTACTGAGCATTTCTGCCTCCTAGTGCAGAAGCACTGATTAACTTGTCAACTCCCCTAGGAAGAGAGTGTTCCTCAGTTAGAACTCCTCTCAATTTCTCATCATACAGCAGTGATGAGGGGGAGTATTTCAAAAGACTGGAAGCACAAAGCTTCTGGTCCCCAGTTCCTCGTTTCTTTTGTGTGAGATGAGCACGTTTCTGAAAGGATGAGGGGAGCTCTAACGACACTGTGCTGGGAGAAAATACCAAGGAGTCTATTTTTCAAATGCAGAACGTGGTTAAAACTTTAAAGAAATCCCATGGTGTAAGTAAATCCTGTAGCACATGGCCCAATCTCTTTAAAGGTTCACACTTCCAAAGCAGGATTTTGCAGTTCAGCATCAGTATCATATAACGTCTTCATTGTGCTTACCCTCCTGAGTCAGTGTCTGTGCCTTCCAGCAAGGCTGCACACACTCAGCCCTTCCTACAGTCCTTGCTCAGGAGCTCAGAGCATTTCTCAAGCAATGAGGTGTCTGTTTCCATGGGTCAGCCCTTTCAAACTGTAGATCCCACAGGTCACCATCACATCACTTTCATGTTTCAACAAGGATCAAAGGAGACATGCTGAGATGAGTTTCTCAGGACTGCAACTCTCTGTAACCATTGCATCATGGCACCTCAACCAAGTCCTTTTTTTGCCCCTGTTGCTGCTTTTATCTGCCTGCCACGTGGCCTGAGGCATTTTCCAGTTCCTGCAGCCACCTTCCACCCTTTGCATTGTGTGATGGGCACCTGCTTCCAGCATAACTCCCTAAAGTCCTTTGGAGGGAGATATTCACTTGCACATGGGGGGGGGGGGGATTAATTCAAACGTTAACTAGCCCAGTGCTTCCTGCAAATATAGAGAGAAGCACAGGCCCAGAGTTCCTCCCTGCTCGCAGAAGGATTTGGTTGCACAAATAGCTGTTTTGGCATGATAGTACAGGACCATAAAATGGCAATTTTTTGGCTTCTCCTCTCTATGCTTTGTGTTCATATATTTTATTAGGGGATTAAAGTAGAAATGGTGGGGATAAGTAGTTACCTGTGTAGAGTCATTATCAGGAAGGCTGAATGAATTAAGGCATTGCACGTGTGGCTATCATAGAAAACTGATCACTAACCCTTCTGAATTGCAGCCCTTTAATCAGTTATGACCCTGAGATGTGGTTGTTGGCTTGTTACAGAACATGATGGCCAGCCCAGTGTTATGTGCTAACAGCGGGTTGCGTTGGCTCTCCCTGTCTCTCTTGTGTTCAGACCTTTGTTCCAGCCGTAAGGTTTTCCTTGTGCCCTCATTAAAGTTATGTTGTGGTGGGTTCCCAGGAAGGAGTACACGAATGTGGCCGCTGCTCTTTTACACCACAGCAGCAGGGTATCTGCTGCCATGGCCTGGAGAAGGTTAAAGCAAGGAGCACAGCCCCTGACTCTTCGCTGCAGCACTGTGAAGCTATAAAAGCTGTAAAGATGCTGGGTGCTCTCCCAGCTACAGTTTGCTTGCAAGAAAGAGAATCATTGCTTTGCATCAGTGTTTGCACCATACCAGATGGCCTTTTCAGACCCTATTTTCCATCCAAAATGTACTGAATACCAGAGGGAGGTATGCCACTGAGTATGAAAGGTTGCATTACTGTTCATCTAAATTAGCAAGCAATTAAGCTTCTTTATAGTGATGCCGGCGCCTACAACAAATGAATTTGATGCCTCCTAAAGCCAGACCAGCTTTTTGCTAGGATTTTAAGTACTTTTAGTCTCCAAATTACTAGGCAAATCGTTTCCTCATATTAAATGTCAGCTGTGCTCTTTAGCATGAGCTGTCTTTGGACTGCAATGTCTCAGCGCTCAACTTTGTTTCTCCAGTCTGCAAACTTCCCATTTCCAAATGTCTGTTTATCCTCCCAGTGTCAAAGAAAGTCTTTAGATAGCAGGATGTAGTCTGTTTTTCTGGTGGCTGTATAATCTTTAGCTGGAAGAAGGCTGATGTCTAGATGACCCTCCCAAAGGGTCCTTTGATCTTACTAGACTTATCTCAAAGCCAGCCTTTGGAAGAAACACTGGATCAAATCTGATGTCACTGCATGTCAGCCCCCAGGGTGTACATTTGGCCCTCCAGTCTGCTATTCTCCTGTGGCCGTATTGCCTGCAGATGCCTTGTAACTGCAAAAGCAGAGGGCCAAGGCTGGAGCACAGACTTCAGAAGGGACTTCTAGATGCTGTGCTCAGCCACGGACAGGACAGACTCAGCTGCTGTGGTTTGGCTCTCCATCTCCTTTCACAGAAGGAGGCAGCTGCTCTGCTCAGCTGAGTGCTGGCTGACACACTGGTCTGAAATCCTGAGCAGAAACCTTCTCTCTCCATGCAATGTGTCCTGAGGGTGGCCTGCAAACTGTACAACAGTGCACAGGAAGCTTGAAAAGTACAGCGCCCTGCATGTGACTCAGCAGCAAAATGAAGATGCTTTTGAAGGAAGGAGAGTCCCAGCTGAGCACCAGATGGAATGATAGAAGGAAAACAAGCAATAACTGGAAAGGCTGCCAAGTGCTGCCTTGGCCTAGGACAGGTCCCAGTAGTCCAAGCTTATCTGTCTCAGTACAGTGCTGATACCAGCAAGGAGCAAAGCTTGCTTTCAGATGCACACTCAAAAAACATCGTGTCCCTGAGCTGGCAGTGCAACCAAATACTACTGCAGAGACTCTACTGGAACATCAGAGTACAGAAATGAGATCTTGCTGCTTTTGGCATTTTAGATGTTTGCTCTAGCCCCAGGCAAGTCACATCCTCTCTAGATATCCATTCTCTTCTGCAGCACTGGGAAGAAATCTGCCTTCCCATGACACTACCACCTTGCATGGATGTTACTGAGCGTACAGTGGGCACCACTGTTAGGTTAGCTCTGCAAGCAAGATGCAAGGAGCATGCTATTAAAGTTTTACACATATTTTCATAATACTGCAAAAAACAGCTCTTCTTCTACCAGCTTCTGGTTGTGTTCGTGTATCAATGCTGCAGAGTGGAGTTCAGTAGAGATTAAACAGCTTTAGGGACGATGTTTGGCAAAGATATGTTTCCCAGTTATTTTGCCTTTGCACAGCTGGCTACTGAATGTGCATGCTGACAGAGAATGTACAGTAACATTCAGTGGCCCAACAGCACCATCCCCTGCTAGCAGAGGTAAGGGATTTCAAAGTGCAGATGGCTTTACAACTCAGATAGTGAGCTCTAATTGAATGCCAGAGATCACCACAATGCTCATTTGTGATATTCCCAGGGCAGTTTCATGCTTTTATTTTTAGCATTTATGTAACAATATGAGGTGTATTTGTCTGGTCTCGCCGTTTTTTCCTTTCTTCCTTCGAGCGCACATGGGGTATGGCCTCTCCTACCTATACCAGAACAGGCTTTATCACCTGGCTGCTGCTGGGCTCAGCAAGCACAGGCTGCACATGCCACCCTGAATGTGCCCTGGTTTTGGCCTCTGGCATCCTTCAGAACTGACTCTTCACAGCTTCTGTCTCTCTCTGCTTTTCATGTCTTGAAAGTAGATTTTCACAGTTGGTCAGAATGTCCTCTAGGTGTCCACTGGTGGCAGTCCCAGGATCACAGTGGGTAGATGCTGTCTGGCTGAGCACTCCTCTGGCAGCTTGTTGGGAAGGCAAGGGCCAGGGCTAACTGAGGTTACGTGGAGCAGGACATGCAGAGTGCCATGGCACAGAGCAGAACACACACACACACCAGGACAGACTGCAGCTTTCCCTGGCACCCATAGAGAGCAACTTTTCCCATTGCTTCCCAGGCCAAATTACCAGCAGAAACTGGTGGTGGGTTTGAGCCTTTCTGTGAAAAGCTGCTTCAGCCAAAGATGCATTTGCTTCTGGAAAGAACACATCTTGCTGATTGCACCCAGTCTGTGAAACAGCCATTTCCACAGTAACAAGCGATGAGAGGAGTAGTGGAATTTATCTGGGAGTGGAAGGTACAATTGAAGCCTTATTAAAATGTTACTTTCAGATGTGTTATTGGAAGCAGAGCAGTAAGCACTGGGAGAAGAAGAGCCACTGAGAGGCTGTGCTGAGATAAGTCCTGTTACTTATTGAGGTGTTTGCCCTCCCCTAGCTGCCCATTTACCTGCCCCAGGTGCGGTCTCCAGTAAGCTGTGATGTGATACAGACCCATGGAGAGGTGGAAAACCACTGCCGGCTCTTCTCACAGCAGCCCAGCAGGAGATGCAGCAAGTGTGATGGTGGGAGAGCCAGTGAGACAGCCGGGATTTCCCTTTGCCCTCCTGAGCAGCCCAGAAGAAGACTGTAGGGCTGAGGGTCACCCAGGTGATTTGAAAACCTTGGTGTGAGCCACCATCACCCTGCTAGGGTCTGGGACTCAAGATCCTGCATGAGCCTGACACCCAGAGGAGGCACAGCTGGGACACCTCTCAGTGGTTCCCTTGTCTGCTATGACGCAAATGCTGGTATGGATGCAGGTCTGCAGGGAGAATGGCTCTAGTGGATGACAGAGTTTTTGCAGGGGAGAAAATCCATAAAGATATTCCCCTTCCTCCCCTTATGCACATTTATAACCATTTAAAATCCTTCCGCAGGGGCTACTGAACCTTCAGTTTAATAACAAAGGGAATGAACCACTATAAAATAGTTTTCTGAAAGGTTCTGAAAGTAGACGCCACTTGCATGCAGAGCTGCTCCCTGTCTAACGTGCGACTTCCAGACTTCAGTGCATCCTGCAGCTGAGTCCCTTTGTGTGCTGTGTGGGCTTATGGAGGGAGAGCCAGAGCTGACCATCACACCAACAGCTACAGCTTCCCAAACTGCAGAAGGGTTAGGCAAGGAAGCGAGGAAAGCAGCAGTAGTGATAGAAGTATAAGTAGTTGTCACAGGTAAACTTTGGTATCTATGTACAATGGTTAGTTCTAGAATTGCAAGCCTTGTTATATTGCATATGTCCTCCTTTCACTCTTTTCTGAAAGCAGCCATCATCTTTCCCCCGTCCCCACCTTGAACTGGTGTTGGGCAACACAGGCAGTTGCACCAAAATGATTCTCAGCCCCGTCCTGCATTCTCCCCCTCCTACCCAGACCCAAAGCAGTCCAGACAGCTGTTGGCTATCACAAGTCTTAATTTTTAGCAACTCCACTTGAGTTTCTTTCTTCGTGTACTATAGCTTCCTCCACAAGCACCCCAGCAGGGCAGTACAAGAGGCTCTGACCATGTCCCAGGAAGCTTCTTTGCCCCCTGGCAGCACCCTGCAGACATGCACCTTACTGGGAACGTATGGGTCAGTGCTGGTGAGAGCTGGCACTGCTGACCTCATGCGTCACAGCTGATGGGGATCCACCAGGGGAAGCTGGCAGGGAGTGGCTACTGTCCCTTTTCTTTTAAATTTGGAGGGAGAGGGGGATATTTTTGGCATTTAGATTATTGTCCACCTTCTAGTGGCCAAGTTCTGGGCTGCATTAATAATTGGGGTCAATGGGCTGTCTGGGCAGGTATGGAGCTTCACACCAACTTCAACAGCAAATGTCATGGCTGTATCCATGGCTGAGTTTCTCCCGTGCTGGCAAAGAGCAGGCTGTGCATCCAGCAGGCTCCAAATGACCCGGCAGGCAGGGAGGCAGCCCTCTTCTGTGTTCAGATCAAGTCCATTTCATGCCCTCAGCTTGAAAGACACTAAACCCCAAGGAAATGCTTCCAAGGTCTCCTTCCACCGCGCAGTGCCTGGTGCCCAGTGGAGGCATTTGTGGGTCACTGAAAATGGGATCCTTCTGGGATATATTTAATGGAAATGCCTTTCAGGAGAGACCTCCCAACCTTTTCCTTAATCTCAGAACAGGGGATGAATTTCCAGCTGTCCTTGCATATAGTGAAACATAGCTGAAACAGCCAAATGCAAAGTAGAGTTAAATGTAGGGTTTGACCTGAATAACCTTTTAATTAGGAAGATAAATTTGTTGTAGCTTGACCTTAGTCCATGTTAGGAACCTGCTAATCATGTGACATGCGGAGTGTATTAATGCTGCACTTAACTTGGCCATTGGTTTTATTATCTGGTTTGGGGAGTTTTTCACTCCCGAAGCATCAGTCTGCATCTCGTACGTTCTTTTTTTTTCTATTTTTTTCCTGTTCAGAACATGTAGCACACGTTGTACTTCTGTTCTTGTCCGCGTAGAGTATTGCCTTAAACAGATCAGATGTGTTGTGGTTTGTTTTGGGTTTTCTTTTTTTTTTTTTCAAACCACCATTTTTATGCATTAATTTATTTAAAATTTAGGGTTTTTTTTGAAAAAAAAAAAAAAAAAGAAACATGTAATTTTTGTTTTTTTAACATTTTCATGGCAGTATTTATCATTGTTACTGGTTGTGTGTAGTGTAACAATTAATGATATTAAAAAGCATACATACAAAAACCAGCCTGCCAGCCTTTGTCACTGGAGGGAACTGGACAGCAGGGTGTGAGGATACAAACAGAGCCAGGATGGTGTCCCAAGGTGCCGCAGCTCTCATTGATGCTGAAATCAGGGGTGGACTAACAGATGGACAGAGCTGATGTTCAGGCATTGCTGGTCAGTCAGGAGGGATGAAAACCTGTAGCAGTGCAGGGATGCTCAGAAAAGAGGTGTCCAAGTACGGGGCTTCCGCCCAGCATCCTGATTTGGGCAAAAAGAGCACGTGGTTTCTGTGAGTCCTCCCCTTCTGTAACCTCATTGCCTGCACTGAGCTTGGGGATCGTTCACCTACACCAGCCCTGCAGAGCTCACTATTGCAATAGCAAATGAGCCACACAAGGTGACCTTAATCTCCCTTTTTAATGAAAAAAAAAAACCAACCCAACAACTTAACACATGGAGAGCTCCCCAGAGCAGTCAGTAATTCCTCTTCATACCCCAAAACCACAGACCAGAGCCATGTGGGTAGGAGCCAAGTGCCCTGCCTTGTGGTGGCTGGAGCAACATGGTGCTGCACTGCGTTCTTCAAGGCAAAGAGGAGAGAGAGGGCCTAGAAACCCAAAAATGCCTACAAGCTATGGTCCTGCACCTCCCAAAATACAGTTACCTTGACTGGGATCAGCTGAAACTGTTTCTTATCCTTGTTAATCTAATTGCCTGTGGGAGGGGGAGGAAGGCTGGGATCAAGGGAATGCAGCAGTGCCCACTGAGGCAGGGATGCAGGTTGCAGGGAGCTGTTACTGAGCACTACTCCAGGACTCGGTATCCTTTGGAACACACCATAGCACTGACAGAATGTGTCCCAGTCTCCCTTCTCCCACACTGTGATGTCACCAATGACATACAGACCACAAAGACATAAAGGAGCCTCCAGAACAGAGGCACCGAGTCCCCATTCCCTTTCCACACAAGTTCTCCAGCCCTGTGCAGTGCCTGTAAGCCACCCCAAGATCCACCAGGATCCAGCATCCCTGTGGCCACAGCACCATGTTCCTCTTTGCCCAAAAGCACAAGACCCCTGTCAGCACCTACACCGATGCTTACCGGCCACCATGCTCCATGAAAAAGACCATCTATGAGAAGACTCCACAGCAGCTATGGAAAGAAAACAAATTTGTGACCCAGGTAATAGCCTCGGGGTTTCTTCCCTTACCTGGCTGAGGATGCTCAGGGCTGGGTGAGGGGTGGCACAGGGGAACTCATGGGTTGCCTCAGTCTCCATATCAGGGGATGCTCGTGTTCCCTGGTCAGCAATATGTCTGTGCTTGTGGCTTCTGTTGGAAATACCCAAATAGTTTTCCAGGACGGTATCTCCAATAAAGCAGATGTTATTCGCAATGGCAGGCCTTCTGCAAGCAGGAGAGCACCCAGAAAACAGTGTTCCATCTTTTATCCCCTATTGCCTGATGCTTACCTCCTTCTCCCCTGGCTCCTCATTGGCTGAGTACTGCAGGTTCACAATCTTCTCAACGCTTCACTAATCATACACATACCAAGTAAACACAAATCCTTGCCACCCAAACATGGATATCTTCATTGGTTAATTGCCTTCTAACAATTGCTTTCTTAACAAACATCTGGACATAACTTTTGGATGCCTGCTTTACAACATAAACGTAAACATAACCTCTTAATTGTTTAATTACCTCCTAGCATTTGTGCCCTTTACACTGGGTCATTGTTCTGGTCATCCATCTGTCCTTGCACAGAGATAAGCTTGGAAGGAGGATAGAGGGGAGTATCTTGGAGCCTGCCTATGGCATCCTAACATTCCACAGAGTGGGACAGTTCTGCTTTGTGAAAGGCCATGACTCCTTGAAATCTTGTTAAATGCATTTCACTTCTGCTGGCCTAATGAACAACCTTACAATATGTTTCCTAGTTCAGAATACTATACCCACATTGTTTAGAACATTTAAAGCCTATTGCAGCTTTGTGAGAAAGAATTTGTCATGTAATTTGGTAACTATATTTCTAAACTATGTTACTAATATGTATATGGGATTACTAATATGTATATGGGATCAGCTATTTCTAAGGATATGCTACAGCTTTCTTCTTTAGATCAATTGCCCTTTTCCTCATCCAGTGCAGAAACAACATTTTTACTTTCCACATTTCTTCTCCCCTGGGCTTGGTGTGTGTCTGTGAAGTGTGCTTATGGGGCAGACAAGCACAAGCTCTCACACAATTCCTGACCATCAGCAGGTTTCAGAGTGCATCCACTGGGAAGGGGGAAATGAGGCAGGGCATCCAGGTGATGTGGTTGTGATGGGGTCAGATGGATTCCCCAGCTCGCAGCCCTGAGGCTTGCCCAGTCCTGAGTGTGGCAGAACATCTCCCAGCCCTGCTCCTGGAGGAGGACAGACCTCTGAGACATGATCTTGCTAGGGAGGTCCCTATGGTCCACAGCCATATGGTTCTCCCCACACAGTCTAGCCACCAGGCAGGCTCTGATGTGAAGCATACCACAAAATGGGTTATCTCTTGCAGCCTCATTAACGTGTGTGTTATAATTAGAGAGCCAGCAGAGGGCATGGAGAAGGATGTCACAGCTACTAAGAGACAGAAGCATCTCCTGCAGCCCAGGCATCCTGGCACACCCGTCCTTTTGGCCTCTGCCAGTTGCAGGGCTTTATCCCACAGCTTCTTTCCCTACCTCTGCTGGCCTTATACGTAGTGGCCCTGTTGTCCCCACACCATCCTCTGCTTTGCAAAGCACCTGGATGTCCCAGGCACCACAAATGCAGAAGAGAACAGGTAGTGGTACCCAGCCACTCTCTGTCCCCAGCGCGCACCCTCTATACAGATATTCACCCTCCTGGTGAGTTCTGGGGCGTGTCTCCAATGTTAGGTTCTGCCTGATAATCAGTGATTGGCTTCACCACATTTCCCCGTGCTGATAAAGGCAGGTGCATCACCTGGGTATCTCACCTCACTTTCCACTGTCTTTAGGGATTAACAGTGCCCCAGGAGCAAAATATGTCTCACCAAGGTCAGCCTGAGAAGCTGATTAAGGCTGTGATGCAGGAGTATTTGTACCGGAATGCCATTGACCCCACTGCTTACTGGCCTGAGAAATATTGGCTGACCAAACCTGAAGGTACTGTAAGTTCCCACCTGTCCCCCTCTGTCACACAGGGCCTCACATCACTGAGGGCCACAAGGCAGGGAGCTGCCAGTTCTAGGTGCAACTCTACCCACCCCTCCTTTTACGTTCTGCATTTCCCCAGTGGTGGCAAAGTGGCCGTCACTTGCCATCTGTGCTTGTAGCTTTGCTGTAACCACCTGTCAGCATCCCCATGTTGGGGTCTCTTGGGCTCACCCCACTGGTAGCCCCTCAACACCTACTGGTGCTCAGTGATGCTGAAGGACACGTCCCTCCTGGCTCCCACGGTTGGGTTGAGACGAGCTGGATTGGGCTGGAATGGACATACCCTCCTTCATTCTCAGTGCCACCATTCACCCTGCCTGCATTGTCTCTTGACCAGTGGAATGGAGGTGCTGGCACTCACACCCATGAAGGTCCCGATGGACCTTAACAAGGACCCCAGCAGCAGCACCTCTCAAGTGCCCCTGAACCCACGGTGTTGTATCTGTGAGACTCAGAGAGCAGATGGGATGTTCCAGCTGTGTCACACATCCCCGACCCCACTGGCAGCCACCTGCCCCACAGGTCAGTCCTGTCTGTTTCTCATTTCAGAGAAATACAGCCCAGTTTTTGTCAATGAGGACAAATACATCACCTGGCGAGCAGGACCCTACAACAGTGCAGCCTGGGACAAGTACAGCACCTACCTCCCCCTGCCACCCAAGGTAGAATCTGGCCCCTTTTACTTTACCCCTGCAAAACTGGAGCTACCTCGGGTGCCATCAGCACCCAGGGCTCTGCTGTGACATGGCGGCAATGCTACAAAGGCTGCAATCACTCCTTGCAGGAGAAGAGAATGGAGACTTTTCTTCAAAGCATACCTGTGCCATATCCCCCGAAACCTGCCTGCCTCAACCAATTTGGTAACTGCCCTCATCCAGAGCTCCAGCTGTAGCTGTGCCTGTGCCATGCCAGTGGCCATCTGCTTGATCAGATGCCTGCTCCTCCTTTTTGCTACCCTCTCTGTCCTTCTGCTTGCAGAGAGGGAGGTGGTTGGTGACATGCTGCGCAGGCTATCACAGCTCTCACCATCGTCCCTGCAGCCTGTGTACACTATGTCAGGGAGGAAACCCTTCCAGGGCTATTACAGCCCATGCTCTGGTCGCCACTACTGCCTGCGAGGGATGGACTACTATGTCGATGGGGACCCTGCCATCAGGAAGCATCTCCATGCGCTAGCAGAACGGACTGTAAGGTTGAGCTGGGCTGGGATGGGCTGTGAATGGATCAGTGAGTGTTTTGGTTTGGACCGGGATGGCTTGGATTCAAATGAGCTGGGCTGAAGTGAGATGAGTTGGGTTGGGTAGGCTAGGATGACATCAGTTGGTTGGGATGAGCTGGGTTGAGTGGGTTGGGAAAAACAGCCCTCTATTCTCAGGTCCACCGCTCACTCTGCCTCTTGTCTCTTGCAGGAGCATCCCATGTTGCAATTTCAGCCCTATGGTGACGTTCTGTGCACCTACACATCACCCCCAGCCATCATACCCATACATGAGCCCTAGGTATGAACACAGTATGTGTGAGAGTGCTCCAGTCAAAGGCAAGTTGCCCTGGTGCAAAGCTATTATTTTACCTACCACCAGCAAGGGGCTAGGTCCCTTTCTGTTCGGGTTTGATGCAAAATTGCTCAGAGGATTGTTCTGGGAGTGATGATGCAGAAAGCAGATCCCGAGGGGTAGTGGATCCCATTATGGTGGTCAGTCAGTAACAAGTTCCTCCATCTTACGGATTCAGTAGGCCACAGCCAGGCAGAGCAGGCATCATTGTGGTGCTGAGCTGGAGCCCATTATTGCTATCTGTGAAGAAGAAGCCACTGAATTTCATCCCTCAAAGGCAGGTGTTGCTGTGCTTGATTGCATCCTGCAGTCCTTGGGACTGCACAGCACCCAAACTCTCGGTGGTGCCCCTAAACCTGGCTGTACATGGCTTAGCACCAAACAGATTTTGGTGCCCCATTTGTGCTGCCTGTGTAGCTCTTGTGCTTTCTGCCATCACCTGCTTTTGTCATCCAAGGATCCATTCCCCAGTCATGCTGCCCTTTACACAGTAATTAGCCATGTCCTTCACCCGTTGCAGATCCTTAATCCCTGTGTGTTTATCTTTGGGATCTTTCCACTGCAGAGGCAGTTTTTTCCCTAGAACAACCCTCAGGGAAGCAGCCGAGAGAGGAGGCTGTTCTCCAGCATAGTTGTTGCTGTGCTACTGCACCAACTAACTGCCTGTGATCCAAAATTAGAAGTTAGGCTTGCAGAAAATGATTGGCCTTAAATTTCTGAGGCCAGAAACTGAAAACAAACAAGGACAAGGAGCACTGAGGTCTCCATAGCTGTCTGCACGCCCAAGCCTTGGTGAGATGATTCTCAAAGTCTTCTCCACTGAGAATAAGGTGTATTTTCTTGAACTCACATGGGTCTGGAAGCTAAGATTTTAGGAAAATGACAGTGCAAGGAGTGGGGGTGGCAGGGAGAGACCTCACTGAGGTGACAGTGCCAGGGATCTCAGCTCCACTGTTCGGCTTCAGTACCCAGAGGTGCTGATAGGGGATGGGAGGCTGTGTGGGCAGTGCTTGTCTCTGCAGTGCTGGCAGCCAGAAGCAGAATTTCATCCTGCCCATGTAGCACCGCATGCCTCCTCTCCTAGGTGGGACTCCAGCCACTTCAAGAAGCTGGGAGGAGTGCAGAGAGGCAGCTACACCATCCACCCCGAGTTCACCTCAGAGATGTACCACGCACCTGCACATTAGTGGAAAGTGAAGATGAGCTCTCAATAAAACCTTTGGACAACCACCCCTGGCAGCTCGGTTCCTACAGAATGAGGAACTCCCTGCAAAGGGGAGACCAGTAAATGTTGTGACCTTGGGCTACAATTGGACAAACCTTGGTTACGGATGTCCCATCCCTGGAGGTGCTCAAGGCCAGGTTGGATGGGGCCCTGGGCAGCCTGAGCAGTGGGGGCAACCAGCCCATGGCAGGGGGTGGAGCTGGGGGGGGGGGCTGAGGTCCCTTCCAACCCAAGGCTTTACAGGGTTCTATGGTTCTGTGATTTCCAGGAGCTATTAACGCAAGCTACAGACCAATGCACGCAAGAAGAGCTTTCAGGGCACAGTGACACCTCCAGAAATAGAAGCGGCCATCCATCCCCGCACTCCGGGCACACTTTCTTTTGCCAAATTATCCAGGCACAGGGCTGAGGTCCCCCAGAGAGGGGCTGAACAAGGGAGGAGGGGTTGCGAGCGACGTCTGATGAAAGAAGGCGGGTAATTCAGGAAGGTGTTTGATGAATGAAGAACTGAGAACCCCGCTCCAGCGGGCAGCACAGCCTCCCCGCGCCGCGGCCTCAGCGCCGAGGGCACCGCCGGTACGGAGCTCGGGGCGGGCCGGGGCAGCGGGGCGGGCCGGGGGCAGGGCCGGGGCGGGCTCTCCGGTTCCTCCCAGCCCCGGAACCGCGGCGGGAGGAGGTAGTGCCGCTGCAGGAGCCCTGCCATGGCCCGGGGCTGCGCGTAAGTGTGCGGGGCTGCGGGGCTGTGGGGCTGCGGGGTGCCCGGTTGAGGCGGGGGTATCCTCGGTGGGTTCGGGGACAGCCCCTCCCGGCCTCCCTCCCTCCCCCGGCAGGTGCCAGCAGCGGTGTGGAGCGGCGGAGCCCGCAGCGATTCCTCTGCCTCCCTTCTCGGGCTGGTGTGCGGGGCTGAAGGGCGGGCATTCGCGTGCCGTGTCGCCAACAGGGCAGCCCGCCGGATCCGAAGGCTGGAAAATTGCAGAGGCTGTGCCAGGGGTTCCCGTTTCCTCCCCCGTATCGCATCGTAGCGGTTGGGTGTTGGGTGCGCTCGGGTTTCGGCTCCCGCCGTGCTGGCGTTTGCTCACCGAGCCCGGCAGCGGGACCCGAGCGCCGCAGGGCGAGTGGGGACGGGGTGCGTCCTCAGCACGGGTGGGACGGGGCCTCGGGGTCGTGGAGGTGCTTGGGGAGCTGGGCATGGGTCCTGCTGAGGGCTGTTCTGTTCTGGTGTTCTGAGGGCTGAGGTGTTGTGCGCTCAGGAGCGCTGGGGAGACGGCGGTGGTGCTGGTGGGGCGTGGGAGCGGCTGGGGGTCCTGGGTGTGTGTGTGCTGGGCACAGAGCGGAGGAGCTGAGGGGAGCCTGATGGCGGCTGCAGCTCCTCAAGGAGCGGAGGGCAGCGCTGAGCTCTGCTCTGTGTGACAGCGACAGGGCCGAGGGAACGGCATGGAGCTGTGCCAGGGGAGGGCCGGGCCTGCCCAAGGGCTGTGCACCAGAGGGCGGTGGGCACGGAACGGCCTGCCCAGGGCAGCGGGCACGGCACTGAGCTGCTGGAGCTCACAGAACACTGGGACGCTGCATGCAGGCATTGGTTTGGCTGTTGCTGTGTGGAACCAGGAGCTCGACTTGGTGATCCTCGTGGGGTCCCTTCCAGCTGCATTCTGATTCTGTGGGGATGGGTTTTGTCCCTGTTTTCATACACTATGGACACAGCTGCATCTTGTGTGTGGGAGGGCTGTGTTCATCAAACAACGCTGTGAGGGGCAAAAGAAACAAAATGCAGACCCTGTGCAGCAGGAGCTGGGGCCCTGGGTCACACACATGAGGTTGTTGCAGCCATCGCTCACGTTCCCCTTTGGCAGAGGGTGATGCTGTGCTGAGACTGACGGAGCTGCTGCTGCCAGCAGGGATCCTTGTGAGGAAGCAGGAGAGCAGCATGGCTGGCTGCCTGCGCAGAGTTTGGTCTCAGACCCACGGCCACTTTGTGAGGCATCACTTTTTGCATTTGTACCTTCAAGGCTTTTGGGGACAGGTTTGTTCAGTTCTCCTTTTCCTCACATTGTGGGCCTGCGTGTTCAGCATCTTGGGGAAATTTGGGCACTGTGAGTGGGCGTGATTTAGGTGTGAGCTGGCTGTGCTGCGCTGCTTGTGTGCAGCTAAAAACCAGCCTATTAAAACTTTATCTTACCAATTAGCACACAGCAAAGAACAAAGAAAGAGGATGTTGTGAAGAGGGAATCGTCAGGTGTATTAGATATTAAGACATTTCCTGCCAAGATTGACTCACTGTGGGGTTTTTTGTGTGGCAGACCTGGTCAAACACCCATGAGGTGTTTAACTGGGTTTGGAGCATCACTTGATGCAGACAGCTTCAAGAAGCGTAACTGAGCTGCAGAGTACCAGTTGCTGCAATACAGGTGGAAATGTTTAAGGTTCAGCAGAGGGAATGTTGCAGTTCATTTCTGCAGACGCGCAATGTCCTGGCAGTATTTCTGCCCTTTTCTGGTGAGCTCCCTATACGCACTTTGGAGTTTATCCTCAAGATGCCTGGTGCAACCAGCAGCAGAGGGGTTGCTTGTTTCCTTTTGCTTGAGGCAGCATTGTTATAGTGCTGAATCATGGCTGTGTTTAGACTTTAGGGGGAAAACAATAAAAATAATGTTTGTTTTGTTTGTTTTTAAATTTGGCATTGGATTGATTTTTTTTTATTTTATTTTTATTTTTTTTTGCTTTCTGCTTTCCTGAAACCTCTGAGTGCAGGCAGGATGATTGTTTGCCATCCCTTCCTCTCCTGCTGCAGGAAGATGAATGGTGAGCCCAAATCCCATGTGACATCTGCCCGTGCCAGCAATGCCCCTCGCGCTCACCCGGTGCCACCACAATGTCTGTGGCTGCCACTATGGCCCAAGGGCTGGCTGCATGCTGCCATCACTGTGCCAGAGAGAACACACCTGTGACAGTGACAAGCCAATGATATGCAGGTCCCTTCCTTCTGCCTCAGGCATATTCTGCTTGCAGCCTGCCAGTGCAGTGTGGAGGGCAGGGCAGCTGGAGACACAGGAGCAATGTGGATTTCTGTCTCAGGAGGCAATGAAGTTGCAGGTTCTTCCAGTGTGCCATGTCCCCTCTGGGATGAGCTGTCTGTACCCCACATCCTGGTGTGGTGATGTCTGCGTGGCTGTGGACTGACGTGGAGTGGCATCCCATAGGCACGGAGGTAGCTCTCACTTCTCTCCTGCAAAATGACACCCTGCGAGTCCCTGAAACCAGGCATTTTTGGGTCCCCTGGAAAGGATGTTCTGGCTGTCCCCGTGACTGCCTGGGGACCTGTGTCCCTCCAGGCTGACTTAGGAGTGGCTTGTACCGCGTGGGGACAAACCCAGGACCCCACGGTGACTGCAGGGCAGGGGACAAATTGATGCCACTGTGAGGAGCGTGTCCATGGAGCAGCCGTTCTGCCACGAGTCCCCCTGCCTCCTATCTCCCATCAGATGGGACAGCAATTTCACTCAAAGTACTGGATAAACTTAATATGCAGAAGGGTTTGCTCATCCCAGCTCCCTTCAGATTTACAGCTGGCAGACTGCAAAGTCCCTTTAGCAAGTCAATGGCTCCGTGCTTTCAGTGGCATTTTTTCCCCCATAGGCACTTTGTAGAGGTCATTTTCCTTTTCGCTTCCCTATTTTGCTGCTCTTTTAAGGACTGGAAATGCCTGGTGGTGAAGACTGCAGTGTTCCATCTGCTCAACCCCTGCCAGGTGTTTGTGGAGGTGGTGGCACCTTGTACCCCTTGGGTGTAGATTCCTGGCGTGCAGGCCTGGGAAATCAGTGCAGGGTGTTGGCACAGACTTGATGCCAGCACAGTTCAGAGCTGACAATTTGGGGCAATAGGGACTGGTTTGATGAAGGTGACCATTTTTAAACGAATGACCTCATTATAAAGGTGCTGGGGTTAATGGTGCTGTGGGCCTCGCAGCCCACATTCAGCGGCTGTATCAGTAAAAATAGAACTGATCAAAAAAGGATTTTTATTTTTACTCCATAAAGTGTGTCCTGCTTGAATGCTGCACTTTCATCTCTGATCAAGGCATGGTGACTGGCTGTTTCCATGGAATGAGAAAGAAAAAGCTTTGCTTTGGTTCAGCTGGGAGGCTTCATCGCAGCAAGCTGCAACCATGCTGCTTGTCTTTGCTGTCCTCCCTGCCTGTTTTCTTTTTTTAGAGGAGCTGGAGGTCACAGCAATGTCATCTTGGAGCAAAATAACAAAGTCGCATTCCAAAATATGTTGAAAGAGGCTTTGCATGTGCAGGCTCTCTGCATGCAAGGTGGAAGGCTTTATCTTGGAGGTGCCTGAAAGACTTTGCTCTGGGGCTGATCACAGGCTGGAGAGTTGCACACTGCATTAACAGGACCCAAGAGGTGCTGGGCCAGGCACAGAGTAAGGCCCTGTGTGGCACAGTTCTGCTGTCTCAAGGCTGCCAAATCATTTCTCAGCCACCTTTGCTCTGCAAATTTGCTCCCACCATGAACATTTGATGCCAGAAATGATGCTGATGGGTGCTGAGTTGCAGCTGGTTTTTGGGGTCTGAGAGCCTTTGCATGGTGCCACTCAGCATTTTTGGGTGCTGCCTGCTGACAGCGTGTACAAATTACCATCCTCTGCAGTGGGACAGTGCAGGATGGTGGGCTGCCTGCATGGAGGGCTGCCTGAGCCAAGCCGCAGAGGTTGGCTCAGCTGTTGTGTTGGCTTTGCCACTATCCTGCAAGCAGGGGAAGCATTTTGGTTCCCTGAGTCAGCCGGTGATGCTGTGCCACTGCCAGCTGTCCCTGCACTGCTATCCTTTGCATCCCCATTTCAGTGCACCAGGCCCACAGACAGGCTGAGCACATGGACTGGATTGCATCTGCTGGCTTTGAAACACCAGGGTTTCAAAGCACTACAAGACAGATTGGGCGTAAAACCTCTCCTACAAACTGCATTGCTTTACCCCTGAGTGGCAGCAGCAGTGCTGGTTCCTCCATGCACGTCACAAATTCCGACCCATGGAGGGGGAAATGGCCTAAAAATAGAGCAGATTCAAAGTGGTTCATAAATAATAAACCGACCTCCTGAGAGGGCGGTGACAATCCAGAGAGCCCCTGTTGCTCCCAGTTTTAAGTGGAGATGGGGAATAGAGCGGCAGAATCAGCCATTTCTGGAGCATAAAACCCCAGAAGAGATCTAGGGAAGAAAAAGCCATTTATTTCCTCTCTCTCAGGAAACACTACAGGTTCAAAAAATCCTTTTCCCCAAATAATTTACTAGTTCTGCTCTCCAGGTGGATGCATTTTCTTTCCTCCCCTCTCAAACCTCCCAGTCCCAAGATAGGGCCCATACAAGGCTCAGCCTTGTCTCTGATAGCAGTAGCTCTGTCACTGGCAGCCCAGAACTCCCCAGTGCAGAGAGTAAGGGAACTCATTTGAGCTATGCCCACACATTTGTAGGTCCTGAAGCACGCACAGCTATGTGCTCCAGCCCCATGTGTTGTTTGGTGCTGGCTGCAACCCCTTGCTTGCTGTGGATGCCCAAGCTTGTGGAGATGGGCAGCAGGGAAGCAGCTCCAGGTTGGACATCAGAGAGTCCCTGAGGCATTGCTCAGCTCTATTGGTTGTGTCTAACTCTAACACTAGAGGTGTTTATGTAGGAGCATGGTTTAATGCCAGTGCAGCATCTCCTACCAACGTCTCTTTTGCCCAATTTCCCTATTGCCCATTTTCTAGTGGCTGGGCTCAGCTGGCTGTGCATTATGTGTGCAGGGAGATGTGACCCCATCCCCTCCTGCAGGCAGCATCTTGCCCAGGGTGACACAGGCAGAGTGACCAGAGCTGCTCCTGTCTGTGCAAAGGCTCAATGGGACTTGGCTGCGGGACAGGTCATTTAGCTCAGCCTACCACCCACTCTTGCTAATCGCTTCCTAATGCTGCTGTAATCCCATTTAAAGCGTCTGGCAGCCTGGAAAATCACAGGCACCCAGCAGAAGGTTGACATGGCCACTCCAGCACTCATACTGTGCAGCTGTGCCCCATCTTTCCTTTTCTGCAGCTCCTGCCCCAAACATCCTGTGTCTATGTTGTACTCTGTCCTTGCACCTTTGCCTGGCAGCCTGCTCTCTGATCTTCCTTTTTGTAAGAAAAAAAATCCCCAGCTGCAACGTCTGCCCCAGCTGCTGCTATAAGACATATACTGAGTGTGATGCGTGTTATGGAGCCCATTCTCAGGTTCCAGAACCCAGCTGTTCAGGCTCACACCTGAGCACCCCTGATTGGAGCAGAGGGCTTCGGAGATCCTCAGGTCCCTGTTTTTCCCCACAGGCTAGATTCCCAGGAAGATCAGCAGCTGGGCTGCCCCGCTGCTAGTCCTGGGGCATTCCACCTGTGATGGGCTAGAAGGGGCAAGGAAAGTTGTTTAGTCCTGCCCTTGTTGTGCCAAGCCCCTGAGACAACACAGCATCCTGGGGATCAAGGCATGCACAAGCATCTCCATGGCTCCTCTCCACCCCAGTTCCTCCTTTGCCTGGTTTTGCTCTTTGCTTTCCAGGTCCTTGCTTCACTTTTCGACTCTGAACCCACAGCACAGTGCTTGGCTGGTCCCACAGCACAGGCAAAGCGCTCAGCTCTTGGCTCTCTGAGCAGCCTCCTTCCTGGGGCCATGTACAGGGGAGCAGGCTGCAGCCAAAAAGCTTAGGCACATATTGCTTGGATGTTTCCAGGCTGGGATCCTGGCATGTCATCTGCAGGGTGTTTTGGGGCTGTGGATGCCACCCCACATGCAGCACATCCAGCTGACAGTGTGGGGGCAATGAGAGCAGCTGAAATTGAGACAGAGAACAGATGACAAATGATCCCTTGGTTCAGAGGTTCTTCCCAGACTATGTATATCCTCTTCTTTTTCAGAGACATGTGCTCTGGGTCTCGGTGGAGGTGGGAACTCCCTGTTTTCTTCTCCTGAGAACCCCAACCTGGCTGCAGAGACAACTTTCTTCCCACACCTCTGCAAGAAGTGATAGAGAAAACAAGTGCCATGTACACTTTCCTGCCTGAAAACTTCACACCGGTGAAGCAGAAGCCATCCAAGGAGCTGAGGCCCATGCTGGGGGCCGTCACGCTGGGCCTCATCCTGTTCATCGCCGCGGTGGTGGCCTGGTGCTACTACACGGTGTCCCTGCGGAAGGCCGAGCGGCTCAAGACGGAGCTGATGGACCTGCGGGCGGACGGCTTCGTCATCAGGAACCAGCACGGGGAGGTGGTGTTCCGGCTGGCGTTCCGCTCGGGGAGCCTGGACCTGGAGTCGTGCTCCAAGGAGGGCGAGATCCTGAGCTGCACGCGGTCGGACCGGGGGCCGCTCAACTTCTTCATCCAGACGGTGAAGCCCAAGGACACGGTGATGTGCTACCGCGTGCGCTGGGAGGAGCTGGCGGCCGGCCCGGCGGTGGAGCACACCATGTTCTGGGAGGACGCCCACTGGTACGGGGGCTCGGAGATGAGCACCCAGCACTGGCCCATCCGCCTGGCGGGCTACCAGGAGCCCGTGCCCTACGTCACCAGCGACGTCTACTCTTTCCGCGACAGCTTTGGGGGCATCCTGGAGCGCTACTGGCTCTCCTCCAAGGCAGCGGCCATCAAGATCAACGACTCGGTGCCCTTCCACCTGGGCTTCAACGCCACCGAGCGCTCCCTCTTCTTCCAGGCCCGCTACAAGGACTCTCCCTACAAGCCCCCGCCGGGGCAGCAGCCCTTCCCCGAGCTGAGCTACCGAGTGTGCGTGGGCTCCGACGTCACCTCCATCCACAAGTACATGGTGCGCAGGTACTTCAACAAGCCCTCCAAGATCCCTGCTGAGAACGCCTTCCGATACCCCATCTGGTCCACGTGGGCCCTCTACAAGAACGATATCGATCAGGATAAACTCTTGCGATTTGCAGAAAAGATTAAGAAATACCATTTCAATTGCAGCCACATTGAAATTGATGACATGTACACACAGGCCTATGGGGACTTTGACTTTGACCCTGTCAAGTTCCCCAACGTAACTGAGATGTTTGCAAAACTGAGGGAAGATGGCTTTAAGGTCACTCTGTGGATTCATCCCTTCATACATGTGGATTCTTCAAATTTTGGTGTGGGGATTGAGCGTCAGCTCTTCATCAAGGAGCCGTCGGGGCGGCTGCCGGCCATGGTGGAATGGTGGAATGGCATTGGGGCCATCCTGGACTTTACCAACCCAGCAGCCCGGGACTGGTTCCAGAGTCACCTGCGCCAGCTCCGTCACAAGTACGGCATCTCCTCCTTCAAATTTGACGCAGGTGAGACCAGCTACCTGCCCAAGCAGTTCAGCACCTTCCGGCCTCTCTCCGACCCCAGCATCTGGTCCCGGCGCTACACCGAGATGGCCATCCCCTTCTACGAGCTGGCTGAGGTACGGGTGGGCTACCAGTCGCAGAACATCTCCTGCTTCTTCCGCATCATTGACCGCGACTCTGTGTGGGGCTATGAGCTTGGCCTCAAGTCTCTCATCCCTACAGTGCTCACCATCAGCATGCTGGGCTACCCCTTTATTTCTGCTGACATGATTGGAGGAAACTTCCTCCCCAACAAGACGGATGGAGCAGTTGAGATCCCGGACCGGGAGCTGTACATCCGATGGCTGGAGCTGTCAGCCTTCATGCCCTCCATGCAGTTCTCCATCCCACCGTGGCTCTACGACAAGGAGGTGGTGGAGATCGCGCAGAAGTTCACGGAGCTGCACGAGTCGCTGGTGGCCCCGCTGCTGCTGGAGCTGGCCGGGGAGGTGACCGACACGGGAGACCCCATCATCCGGCCCATCTGGTGGATCTCGCCCCGCGACGAGGCCACGCACCGCATCGACTCGCAGTTCCTCATTGGGGACACCCTCATGGTGGCTCCTGTGCTGGAGATGGGCAAGCAGGAGCGCGACGTCTACCTGCCGGCGGGCAAATGGCGCAGCTACAAGGGGGAACTCTTTGAGAAGACGCCAGTGCTGCTCACGGACTATCCTGTCGACCTGGACGAGGTCGCCTACTTCCTCTGGGTTTCCTAACCGGATCCTCCATCTGCTTTGCTATGGTCTTGTGGATTAGTGAACACTTGATTTGAATGACCTCAGAATTTTAATAGTTTTTGAAGTAGAAATGTATAATTGTTTAAGTAAGAAGAAATATTACCACCTCTCTTACTGTTGCAATTGCAGTGGAGTAATAAAGCAACATATTGGATGTATACCTTTGTTCTTTCTGTTTGACATTGTAGTGATGGAGATTCTCCCCTTCTAATATTTTCTCATCAAGAAAGGCCGTTCACATTATATAAATGACTACATTTGTCTGTGGTTTACAGGCAGTTGTGCTGCAGTTGTTTCTGTAAGATGCTTATTAACCCCGATTTGCTTAGTGGACAAGGCAGTTGAAGCAGAGAACTTTCTTAAAAATAAAATAAAAAAATCCATGATTAACCCAAAGGAGGTGACTTCAAATTTTCAGCCTGTAAATCAGATCGGTGCTGAAGCAGGGTGAGTTTCCATTTCCCATGGATAGGGTTATCCAATATAGCAGAAAGAAGCTTTAGCACTTCTTAATACTGTGGCAATCATCTCCTTTTAATGAAATAAATTATTGAGAAACATGTCTCTGTTGTGTATTCAAGTCTGCAAGCATTTGATGAAGTCTCAATAGCAGTCAAGACTAAAAACTAGCAACAAGTCATGCATTGGTGAAGACCATTAAAGGGATCTGTTTGTGTTTGTGGCCTGATTTAGATTCAAAGGTTGCAGTCTAACCACCACAAAGATTGCAGATGAAGACTTGGTGAAGACTCCCATAACACGAGCAGAGTTGATCCATTTGAGCCAGCATCCCACAGACATGACTTCTCCTGGATGAAGGCATCTCAACAGCACCCGTAGGCTTGGGTAAAGTGGGCTACCTCTGAAATGCCCTCCACTCTCAGTCCATTCTTCCTCATTTCTAAGCTAAGAGAAATTTAAATTTAAATGCGACTGAGAAGTTTAGGAGAGTCCTGGGGTCTCTGGGCTGAGATGTTCCTTCCCAAAGCAAGGGGCAATTTCCTTCCCTAGCCTTGATGGGCTGCTAGTGGCACCTGAGAGGTAAAGCAGTGCTTGGCCCAAACCAGAAGAACCTCTTTCTTTAGAGATTTGCTCTGGAGCTGGTTGATGTTATGAGTTTATGGGGGACTTGAGAGCATCACAGTCACTCCGGAGCTTTTTTGATGCTCAGGCTCCACAGCCTCACCAACGGTTCTGTCATGCTGTAGGATCGAGAACCAACACTCAGATTCATGTTGGTGTGTGAGCTCACTGGCTTCCCCCCTGAGCTTTGGGGACAGAAGAGAGCCCGAGACAAGCTCCTCATGCATTCAGTAGGAAAAAAGTTGAGGTTCTTTATGGTGCTCACTCAAACCTTGCTGGTGCCCACTGTGGGGAGCTGGGTTCCAGCCTCCTCATGCAGCATCACTGCCCTATATCTGTGTGCTCTGGTGTGCACAGTCATGGGTCTGCTGCTCTCCTGAATCACAGGCTGGGGAAAAAAAAAAAACATCTTCAAGTATACTGCAATTCCTGGGGATTATTCAGGCTGCTCTACCCTTAGCAGATCTCCCTCAGGGAAAGTTCAAGCCTGTTTGGCTGCAGAAATCCCTCTCCAAATCCCCATCCCTATATGCTCTCCTCTTGTGCCTGTCCTTGTTGAGATGTGCGCTGTGGAGGAACATCTGGTTTTCCTCACAACGCCTCAGTCTCTGTTGTTTTTTAGCATTCCTAGTCTGAGCAAGCACTGTGTTTGCTGCAGGGACTGGTGACAAAGGAACATCACTCACCCCAGGCTTCCTTTATGCTTTTATTTTTAGAGGGAATTTTATTATCCTTGATATTAGATGATTGCTGAGCTACAAATCACCCATCCCCTGTAGCAAAAAAAATGGAAAAAAACAGTCCCTGTCTTTTTCTGCTTGGTTGGATTTAGCATGGCCCAGCCCAGCATGATGGCTTTCCTGGACTCTGGGACTGGGTGTGATGGAGGAGGCTGTTTTTTTCCCTAAGGTTACCAGACTGGCTGCACACTCAAAAGGAATTTGTTGCTGTCAGCTTGTCCTTTCATCCTTTCATCACAGCTATCCACAGATCTGTGCTGTTTTTTGTCTTTTCTTTTTTCCTTTCTTTTTACTCATTTTTCTTCCTTTTACAAAAAGCTGTGATCTTGTGCAGAGCTGGATCCATAGGCAACATTGGTTTGAAATGCATTTGGCTTTTGCCAAAACCTCAGTGGGATTTGGAGTTGAACATTAACACTCCTCCCTGCTCCCTGCACAGCTCTCAATGTATTTTTGATTGCTGCTTGGCACATGGTTCGGCATCATCCCATGATCAGCAGGGTCCAATTCACACTTAGCTGGGACCCTGAGCAGTGCAAACTCCATGCAGCTGGTGAGCCTCACACACTCTTACTGGACACAGCTGCAGATTTTAGGAAAATGCAAAATAACCCAACAAAAACCCCACCCAAACCCCCCAGATGCAAGGAAGGACATCTGCATTACTGGGACTCCATTGGAAGCTGGATCCAGCCTGTCACAAGGCTCCAGCTTCACTCCCACAAGCATCAGTCTGGTGCACGGATGCTTCTCACACCTAAGGGAGAAGGCATTGAGAAAATTCATTTTTACTGCAAAAGCAGTAAGACAAAGCCCCCCTCATTTGAGTCATGTGTTGTCTGGTGCTGGTGATGTCTGGGTGCCACAAAGCAGTCTTTGGTTCATACAGTAAGGTGTTGGGTGAGGAGGAAAAACATTATTTGGGATGAGGGGGTGGCATGGGGCAAAGCAGGCTCTTAGTGGCTTTCATAGGTCTGTTTCTGGTGCTCATATAGCCACAAACTTCTATCCTGGCCCCTCTGTCCTACTAGAGCAGTGTGGGAAGGGGATCTGGGGGCAGCAGGGACAGACAGAGTGACCTCCTGGGACACATGCTGGAAGCACCAAGCAGCCTCCTTTTCTTCATCACCTGCAAATAGACCACAGATCTTCTGTATCAGCATGGACCAGCAAAAGCCCAGGTCCCCTCTGATGCTGGCACTGGAGGACACCTTTTGGGGGTAGTCAGCAGAAATAAGGGCACCACTGTCTGGTGCGATGCAGGACTCAGGGAAGGTGGTCTGTGATCCATCCCAGCCTGTGCTGAGCGAGGGGGCACTTTCAGACCCATCTAAGCAGAATGCTGTCAGCTTGTCACTTATAAACACTCATCAAAGCATCAGAACACAAGCAGTAAAGACATTAAAAAATCCACAGCCTCAACTCTAACTTCAATGAAGCCTGGGGTGAAAAAAAGCCCCAAACCTACCACCACACTTGGAATAAACAGACAAGTTAAACTTCATTTTGTTTTCCAAAGTTTTTTATCAATCAAGGCAATTCAAGTTACAGCTCTGTTTTCATAACAATTAGAATTAGAAAAGTGGTTAAAAATGATCCCACCAGCACTGCAGTCCAACTCAGGAAAGCATGTGAAATCCAACCACCCACTAAAAGCTGACACATGACAAAATAAGCTTCAAAACCCAATCCTATGGGCATCATGCTGACCTGCTGCTCATCGCCACCTGCTAGTGCTGACTGAACCAATCCCCATCACCTGTTTTGAGGCTTTTCCTTGGCTGAGTTAACCTGGTTTTGGACAGTGACCCAGTGTGTAGCCCGGAGAAACCTCCCTGGGTATTGGTTCCCAAAATGTCTATGCACAGAGAGCTTGTGATCTGCAAAGTCTTAAGGATGCTTGACCTGGGCTGCAGCATAGTGTTAGTGGTTTTGGTAAAAAGTTTGATGGAGAGAGCATCCAGGAGCTTATGAGATAGCTTGAGGGAGCATTGCTGAGCCTGTCCCCAAAAAGGCTTGGTCATGTACCCAGGGAGTCAGACGAGCCCTTGCTCCAGGGCTTCATCCCTGCTCTCCTCCTGGCTTCCCCCTCCTACTAGCTGGAGCACTGAATGGCCATGACCACTTCTGCCCTAACCACAATATTTAGAAAAATAAGGTTACTCTATAATCTTACTCATTCACAACTAGTTAATAAACACCTTTGACAATAAAACTTTCTTTTGAGGGGAGGGGAAGGAGGACAGTGTGTCTAATGGAGATTTTTCCTCCTGACAGAGCCCTGCTGAATTTTGGTACTTTTCTGGCACAAAGCTGTGGAGTGCAGCCACACAGGACTTTAAGAACCCATGTGGGAGATGGAGAGGTCAGCTTGGCCTCGTCGAGTGTCGACTTGTTGATAATGAGGCTCTGGAAAGGAGACAGAGGGTCTGAATAAACAGGGGTGTTTTGTACCTAGCCATAAGATAAACTTTCTGATGATTATGAAGACTTGTTATGGAATTCACTTGCTTTCTAGCCAATGGATTGTTAGTGGAAATGTACTGACTATGCGTGTTAGAATATAAAAGGCTTGTTTCAGAAAGTAGAAATAGAGACATACATCATGACCATGATCATTACGGCAATAAAGAAATCTTCCTGGCAAGAGAACACTGTGTCGTGTGGCTAACTCACAACAATCCAGTCTGACAGCCAGTCTGCCACCACTACCCAAAGAGTCCAGCTGCAGCACCAGCCTCTGCCTCCTTCGGCAGCTGGCACCTGATTCACCTGAGCTGAGAGACGGAAGCAGTGGCCACGAGCTCTCCCCATCTGCTCCTACACAAAGTATAATATATTTTACTGAGTTCTAAGAGGGGACCAAGGCACTCATGTGGTTCCTGCCATCATTTTCACAGTAAAGGGATTCTGCTAGGAAGGCTAAACCTTGTCAGAGTATGTTTGTAGCCTGAAAAGCCACTTGTACTGTACTTGTACTGGGGCCAGAGAGCAAATCTGAGCCCTCACAGCTAAAAGCCACAAGAAACTGGCTTAGGGGCTGAGCCTGGAACTTGCCTGTGCTCCTGCTGGACCTGAGGACTCCCTTGAGACTGGTTTTGAGGCCCAAACACAAAATTACTCAGAGCAGATCCAAACAGACATCAGGTTGGTTCCAAAGAAGCACAGACTCACAAAATGGCTGAGGTTGGAAGGGACCTCTGGAGGCCTCAAGCAGGGGTTACCTTGAGCAGGTAGCCCAGGACCATGTCCGGACAGCTTCTGAAGATTTCCAAGGACAGCATCCATCACACTGAACATTCTCACTTCCTTCCTAACTGTACAAGCACTTTAGA